GACATGAAACTGCATTCTTTCCGTAACATGGAAACGACATAGGTTATTTTAAGTGATAATTTTATAAATTAATTTAAATATATCATTTATATTAGCTTTAAGTTTTCCTCATAAGCAAAAGATGCTATCTGAACATGTAGATAATACAAGTACTAATCGCAAATCCAAACAAGATTCAGCAAAACACTATTTGTGTGGAAAAGGCTATGAAGAATCGAATGATGAAAGGTTTTGAAGGATGCATCTGAGAATGGAATTTGAATGGACATCATCTTAACACTTTTAAATCTTTATGCATAAAAACAAGGTCATATGTAAAATGTGTTCCAAAATAATATGAATACATTGAAATTACTATTAACAAATTACATATCCCTTTCCTTCGGTTTCTAAAGTCCAGTAAAACCAAACATATTCAAAAGTACACTAAAAAGGAAAGTTGCATAGAGTTATAGAAATGAAGAACATATAAATATTAAACATTGTATGTACTCATAGTAACTCTTCCGCTAATACCTTATTAGTCATCTGATTATTACAAAAGGGTTTGAAAGGAATGAAGCCTGGTTCGATGCAATCACCCTTCTTTTCAATATCATAAGAAAGAGAGTGAGTGCATCGAACCAGGCAATATCCCTCACAAACCACTACTTGTTTGCTTCTCTGAATAGACCATTGACTTCATTTTCTTCTTCCTCTAAACCCTAATATTGGTTCATGTATGTTCAATCTGCAGATAGAGAAAAATATGTGTAAATAAGTTAATGGCCTTTTCAAATCTGGTTATTGAAGAAATAACTTTTGTTATTTTTTTACCTGTTTTCCGTATTAAATTGTATTTACTTTAAGAATAGAAATAAAATACTAAATGAAAGGTAACCTTTGAATATTCAAATTCAGTATTTGTAATCTGAAATAGTTTGCAATTTTGATTATGTTTAATTACACGTCTGAGTGAAAGTTGTGACTTCATTATGGTAATAATCAATATAGGAACTTCATCTGTGCAAGATGGTTTTTGGAATAGGAAACATTTTTGCCTTGATGTACTTAAGAGTTACAACTATGTTAATGACAGAGTTGTAACTCTGTTGATTACAGAATTGTAACTCTGATGTATTTAGAGTAGTAGCCTGTGCCAACCTCATGTTGGCTTCCAGTCCTAAAAATATGCGAATATTACGTTAATGATATCAAACTACGAATAAAATTGACCTCTAGGTAAACAAGTCTGGGAGAAACTGTAGACAGCACTTGACTAACTTTCGTGCCATTCACATGTGTACAACCAGAATCTCTCCGTTAATATGCCATCCAGACTTAGGAGAAGATGGCTAAACTTATCTTCTCCCAGATTAGAAAGAAATCTACGATATGTTCTTCAATAAGAGCTCTGTCTCTTGATGTATTTCAAATTTCGCCTCCAACTTAGACGAAAAGGACTAAGATATTTATCTTCCATACTAATGACAGGTCTTACGATAAAGTCTGGACCATGTGCGCATTCCATGGTGGTAGGAAGCTCAGAGGCTCTGCTTGTACTATGCAGACCTTCTGTGTGAAGTGAAACTCTGTATGAAGCACTTAATCTTTTTGCCGCTGAAGCATTCATCTTCCTTGGAATATAGCATAGGCTCTGTCTATAAAACACTTAACTCTTGAGTCAGAGCTCTTTATCTGTCTGTATTCAAAACTTTCCCTCCAGACTTACAAAAAGAGGCCTAACATATTTACATCCCATGCTACTTAGAGGTCTTGCACGAAAGTCTTAACTATGGATGCATTCCATGAGAGTAGGAGGCTCAGAGTCTCTACATGTACTACGTAGAGGCTCTATGTCTGGAGTGAAGTTTTGTATCAAACACAAGCTTTTTGATCTTCCTGGGAATACAGCACAGACTCTGTATATGAGACACGTAAGTCTTGAGTAAGAGCTCTGTCTCTTATTGTATTCCAGATTTAGTATCCACACTTACAATAAGAGGACTAAGATATTCACCTCCCAGGATAATTAGACGTCTTGCGGGAAAGTCTGGACTATGTACGGATTCCATGGGAGTAGGAGAATCAGAGTCTCTGCATGCACTATGCAGACACAATGTATCTGGACTGAAGCTCTACGTCAAACAGTTGAGCTTTTTGGCATTCAACCATTGATCTTTCGTCGACTGCAGCATGAATTTGTATATGAGACACTTAACTCTAGTGTAAGAGCTTTGTCTCTTGATGTATTCCAGATTTTACCACCAAACTTAGAAAAAGAGGAATAACATATTGACTTCGCAGGCTAATTAGAGGTATTGTGGGAAATACTGAACCATGTGCGTATTCCATGTGAGTAGAAGACTCAAAGGCTATGAATGTACTATGTAAGGCTCTGTGTGTGGAGTGACGCTTTGCATCAAACACTTAAAAATTTTTGATGCCCTGTTCATTAACTCTGACAGGAAAGTCTGAAAGGTAACTCTGAAATACAAATCTGGAAAAAAAATCTACTAGGCAGTTTGTTAACTTCCGTAGCACTTACAGCTGTACTTTACGGTTTCCATAACCGCCTCATCTATGTAAACATTTGTTTCTTATAAAATTATTGTCGTCACATACATCTTCCGTTTCCTAGTACAATAACAATCTAATGCTTAAAACAACTAACTAAGTGATCCCATTTTCTTATGATTGTTCATTCTAACGTTTTGTTACCTAATGTCTTCATGCACTGGTTTCTTATTAAAGGATTAATTTTTTGCATATCATTCAAAAAATAGATTCCATGGATGCTAAAGGAAGGAGAAAACTTAGAAAGACGGTTTTGAATAGTAGTAAATAGTCATTGAAGTCTACATCATCAAATGTTGAAGGTATTTGATTCAACAGCATTTTGAATTTGATTTTCAATGAGAGAAATATTATCTGTTCAAAAATTATGTTGAAGGTACTTGTCTTCATTGTTCTTTCCTCTTTCTTTTCACAGATAAATCCCAAATTCTGATAGGCGATTAAGATCTTCATCTCAGAGCAAAAATATTCCCTACCATAGTGAGAATATGGATCCAAACACATATCGTCAATATGAACATACAAGCATTCAACATTCTTCTTCAAATGTAACTATCACAAATCCATTATCTGATAGTTCTAATGGTATCTATAATCTCTTATACATCTCATTCTTAAACTAATGATTCCAATACAATTTCTATTCTAACACATGTTTTACACTACGTTAATTTTTATATTTCAAACAGCCAGTCTTCATGTAAATAGACACTATTGGTTACGTTCTAACGCCAATCCATCAATGCCTTCATCGACAATAGAGCAAGCTTCTTCCATGGTGAGGTTATCAGCAGGGCAACATAGATTACGAAGGAAGACTGTAAATGTATCTTATATACCAATAATTGACATTACATCAGATGAAGAACTGGACGATCCAATAGCAGCTACAAACATAATTGCAGGAATATCTAAAGGTAACATTTGATTAATCAATTATTTAACAGTTGCAGGTAGTTATTGGTTTCGAATTTATTAAACAGAGTACTTGGATCAAGGTGATGAAACGGCTATTTGTGAATGTTGTGATGCAAAACTATGGAGAGATGAAGCTCTTAGAGGGAAAAAATATGGGATGAAAGCAAGTTATTCCCTTTGTTGTCTTTACGGCAAAGTTCAACTTTCGAAAGAGAAAGCGATGGGTAGTGCTTACGTAAATCTTTTCCGTTGTCAAGAGTTGAAAAGCAAATACTTCATGAAGAACATTCATCGTTATAATTCAGTGTTCTCATTTACGCCAATGGGTGGGAGAATTGATTTTTCCATTAATAGTGGAAATGCACCATACATATACAGGCTTAACGGTCAAAATTACCATAGGATGGGCAGTCTTCTATCACCAGATGGATCCATACCAAAATTCTCTCAACTATACATATATGATACAGAGAATGAAGTTTCAAATAGACATAGTACATTTCGGTATACATTCATCCTTATCCTTATACTTCTTAATAAATTTATTTGAATTCCATAGTATGGTTACATTAATGGTCACTCTGATTTTATATTTTTTATGATTTAATTAGTGAACAAAAAGAAGCCTCTACATCAAATTTTGATTCCCTTGATATTGAGATTATTCAATATTTAAAGAACATACTAGATGCAAAAAAATATTTTGGTCAAGTCTTATAGAATGGCAAGAGATTGTTTTGAATGCTACCTTGATGTCAAGCTAAACTTACGGCTTATTGAAAGAAGAGAAAAGGATGGAAGAACATATAACCTTCCAACTGCTTCAGAGATTGCAGCTTTAATTGTTGGAGATGATGGTAGTACAATTGAGAAAAGATATATCATTGTAAAACTTCAAATAGGTTATTTACAACAAATAAGTGAATTACATCCTTCTTACCTTCCTCTTCAATATATGTTGTTGTTTCCATACGGAGAAGATGGTTACAGAGTTGACATTCCCCATCGAGAGATAGCATCTTCAAGCAAAAGTAAAAGAGCAACTATAGCAATGAGGGAGTTCATCGCCTTCAAACTTCAAGATAAGGGAAATATGTTTTCATTGCTTCTCAATGCAAGGAGGCTTCTACAGCAATTTATTGTTGATGGTTACACAATGATTGAAAGTGAGAGATTGCATTACATACGTAAGCAACAAAAAGTTCTAAGGTGCAAGACATATGATAATGTATGCAATGTACAAGAGCAAGGAGAGTCGGATGCTTCAAACATTGGACAACGTGTTATGCTACCTTCTTCTTTTACCAGTGGTGCTCGGTACATGATGCAAAATTATTTGGATGCAATGTCCCTTTGTAAATGGTATGGATATCCAGACTTATTCCTAACCATGACATGTAATCCTAAATGGCTAGAAATTAGAAGATTCGTTAAAGACACCGAGCTGAATCCAGAAGACAAGCCTGACATTCTTTGTCATTAATTTAAGATCAAGCTTGATGCACTTATTAAAGAATTGAAAGACAATGAATTATTCGAAAAACTTCAAGCAGGTATGTTCAATCTATGATAACAGTATCAACATATTTCTTCATACTTCAGTTATATCTTTATTAATTTAAGTTGTCACTTTTTTGTAGTTGTTTATACAATTGAATTTCAAAAGCATGGATTAACTCACAGTCATATCTGTTTGTTTATGCACCATGATCTCAAACTACCTACTGTTGAACAAATTTATCCTATCATCTCAGCTGAGATCCCAGACAAAAACAGAGATCCAGATTTGTACTCACTTATAAAAAAAAGTTCATGATCCATGGACCGTGTGGTGAAGAGAACATTAATTTTCTGAACACACTTCAATTGATGTTAATGGTTATTTTGTATACCGTATACGAGATGATGAACATTTTAATGAGAAATCAGGTGTTAAACTAGACAACAAAAATGTCGTTCCATATAACAAACATCTATTGAAAAGATATCATGCACACATTAATCTTGAGTGGTGCAATCAGGTTTCTTCAATCAAATATCCGTTCAAATATATCAACAAAGGTCTAGATAGAGCCACTGTTGCTATTGTAGAAAACAGTAATGATGAGGTCACTATTAATGTTGTTGATGAGATAAAGCAATATTATGATTGTAGATACCTTTCTGCATATAAAGCTTCATGGCGTATTTTTGGGTACGATGTTCATTACAAGACTCCTTTTGTTTTAAGACTTCCTTTCCATCTTCCGGGACAACAACAAGTGGTGTTTGGTGCTGAAGATGATATCGAAAATGTCCTAAACAGACCATCGGTGGCTTTCTCAATGTTCTTATCTTGGATGAATTGTAATCAAATTTATCAAGAAGCACGAGAACTCACTTACGTTGAATTCCCTACAAAGTTTGTATGGAAATTGGAGGAGCGATGTTGGGATCGAAGGAAAAAGGGCTTCTCAATTGGACGAATTCATTCAGTTTCTCCTACTGTAGGAGAAGCATGTTATTTAAGAATTATTTTGAATAAAGTGAAAGGTCCTAAATCATTCGAAGACATTCGTAATGTAAATGGAAAAACATTTCTTACTTTTAGAGATGCATGTTATGCTCTTGGGCTTTTAGATGATGATAAGGAATATATTGATGCCATTGAAGAGGCAAATTTAACCGTATCTGGTTTTTATCTACGCTTCTTATTTGCAACCATGTTGATTTCAAACAGTCTATCTAGACCTGAATTTGTTTGGGAAAAAACATGGCAATACTTAGCAGATGGCATTCTGTACAATCAACGAATTTCTTTAAAATCTCCAGGTATGTTAAATCTATATCTTAAGCATAGATTTATACAACTATTATCTAAATAGTAAAGAATTTATTCTTTTTGTCTTTGTCAACTATTATGTTCTTCCTTAAATTGTATTTAACTTTAATTTTATGTATTAATTGTTTACATTTATATTATATTTTTATAGATTTATCTCTCAATGAAGAACAAGTGAAGAATCTAACTTTGTTTGAAATTGAAAAGATTTTGCTCCATAACAATTCCACACTTAGAAACTTCACTACTCTGCCTTATCCTAATAATGATTGTCTTGAATCTTCAAACAACCGTTTGATTGCAGAAGAGATGGATTATAACCATCATAATTTACGTGATGAGTTTCAGACGCTTGTAACTGCTCTAACAAATGAGCAAAGAGGTGTGTATAATGAAATCATGACCGCTGTTGAAAAGAACAATGGTGGTGTGTTTTTTGTTTATGGGCATGGCGAAATAGGTAAAACATTCCTATGGAAGACATTGGCTGCATCAATAAGATCTAAAGGAGAAATTGTTTTAAACATCCCTTCCAGTGGTATTGCTTCTTTACTTCTTACCGGTGGCAGAACGGCACACTCTCGCTTTCAAATCCCTTTCATTATCAATGAAGATTCTTTTTGACACATAAAGCACCATTGGTTCATAAGCATGCATTTGAAGCATTGGATAGAAATATGAACGATATTTTTAATACTAGACGCAGTAGTGACTCACAAATGCTTTTTGGTGGGAAGGTAATTATATTTGGAGGAGATTTCAGACAAATTCTGCCGGTTATTCCCAACGCAGGTAGACAAGACATTGTAAATGCATCATTAAGCTCATCTTACAGTGGAAACAGTGAGAGTTCAGAAATTGAACAAACAAGGGATTTTGCAAAGTGGATTTTGGACTTAGGAGAAGAAAAGGTTGGAGGTGATAATGATGGTGATGTAGTTATTGAGATACCTCATGATCTTCTCAATACCGATTCCGTCAATCCTATATCTGCATTAATAGAATTTGTCTATCCCTCAATTCTTGAAAACATCAACAACTCAACTTATTTTCAAGAACAAGCAATACTTGCACCAAAAAATGAAGTCGTTCAATAAATAAATGATTGTTTGCTGTCATTGTTCGCAAGAGACGAGAAGAAGAACTTAAGTTCAGATACGCTATGTGAATCAGGGCACCTTTACGATCAGTTTGATAAAACTTTGTACTCTCCTGATGTCTTAAATGGTCTTAAATTATCAGGGATACCAAACCATAAGATTTTACTAAAAGTTGGTGTTCCTATCCTGTTACTCAGGAATATTGATTCAAAATATGGATTATATAATGGAGCTAGACTGCGGGTGTTATCATTGGGAAATCGAGTGATAGAAGCACAGGTTATATTTGGAAGCAATATTGGAAGCCGGACAATTATTCCAAGAATGTCTTTGACACCTACAAACAAAAGGATTCCATTCAAATTTCAAATATGACAATTTTCAATTGTTGTATGTTTTGCCATGACCATAAATAAGAGCCAAGGACAATCATTATCAAAAGTTGGTTTATTTCTAAGACAACCGGTCTTCACCCATGGTCAGTTATATGTTGTTTTATCTAGAGTTAAAAGCAAGCAAGGTTTGAAAGTACTAATTATGGATAATGATGATGGTATTATTGGCAGTAGAACTACGAATGTTGTATATAAAGAAGCGTTTAGTAATATATGATACATGGTTGTTATTCTAATAATATTTTAAGTACTTACCTTTACCTAATTTCCTATACATTTTTTATAAATTTTGTTCTACAAGCTTTTAATATTAACTCATATTATTATAGATTATTATAAAATGCATACTGGTTTCATTTAATTCTTGCAAAATAGCCACTGTAATGCACGAGAGCGAAGGACACTAAACGGCTCTGCATGAACTATGCAGAAGCTCTGTGTCTGGACTGAACCTCTGCATCAGGCACTTAACCTTTTTTTGCAATTAAGCCTTCATCTTAATTAGAATGCAACACGGGCTCCTTATATGAGACACTTAACTCTTGATTAAAGACTTTGTCCCTTGATGTCTTTTACATGAGAACTGTTGGTCCAGCCCGGTTAAAAAAAATAGTCCTAAAAAATACAATAACAAACTTCAAACTTACACTTTTCAGAAGATGGGCTCTAAAAATCTACAACTAAGTGTAAGTAAGACAAAACTCTTACAAGAATGAAAAGGCGAGTCTCATCGAAGCTCTGCATGTACTATGCAGAGGCTCTCTGTATGAAGTGCAACTTTGCATGAAGCACGTAAGCTCTCCATGTGCGCTCAAGCCTTGCTCTTCCTTGGAATACAACACGGAATCTTTAAACAAGACAGCCTCTTACTTGTACTTTTACAAAATGGGATCTAACAATCTACACCTAAGTGTAAATAAGACAAGCTCTTAGTGGAATGAAAAGACAAGTGTAATTGAAGGCAAAGGTGAAAGACAACCTTTGTATTACACTAAGTATCAAAGTTTTAAAGTAATCTATGATACATGATTGTTATTGTATTAATAATTTAATTACTTACCTTTGCCAAATTTCATCTAGATTTTGTTACAAAGTTTGTTTTACAAGCTGTTAATATTTACTGATGTTATTATAGATTCTTTACAAAATAGATATTGCTTTCATTTCATTCTTGCAAAATACCCCGAGTAATACACGGGTTCGAACCTAGTGTGTGTGTGTGTATATATATATATATATATATATATAGGGGTGAGTTCAAATAAAAACCACTCAATTTGTAAAAACCGTGAAAATCTCATTCAACTTATTATAATTTTTTATTTTGTTCATTTTTTGTAATTATGAGAGGTTGATTAACCATTTTTTATTGTGGATGGTATTAATCATGAATATTATCATCTTCATTATTTTAATTTTAGAGAAATACATGAAACAGTTTCATTAAAATTTCATTAAGTAGTATATGAAACAACTTCATAACCACATATGAAACAACTTCATCAAAAAAAAGTATTATATGAAGCAATTTCACAAGATTAACAATTTCATGAAAAAAATTCATAAGATTAACGATGGATGAGAATAGTTTTTACGGTTTTTACAAATTGGAGTGGTTTTCATTT